CCCTTCCTAAAATCAAGTTTTGACTAGGTACGGCAGTAATCTTCCACCTAGTAAGTATAAGGGTGCCGTCATCGACGCGAGAGCAGAAGCGTGGTGGGTGACCGGATACAGTAGTTCTCAGAAAATCGTCACACTACTGTAGGCCGCGATAGTTTGGTGACCCAAAAATTTTATTGCAGATTTGCAAAAATTTGTTGGTTGACTGTGGGTCAAAATGACCCCGGGGTCCTCACCAACCCGGGGGTCCCAGGAACCCCATGACATAGGGATGACGTAGTGCTGACGTCATGCGCGAAGAGGAATGCGCGTGGGTTACAAAATATTTGAGGATAAAAATCTAAATTTGACTTTGTCAGGGGTCTAGATGACCCACTGGGGCTCCAGCAAACCCAGTGTAGCTAGGGTCCTCAAGTTTAAGGGGCCGGGGTCCTGAAGAACCCGATGTCGGTACGGTCCCCATAAATGAGGGGCTGGGGTACGAAACAACCCTGTGCGGTTATGGTCACAGTATGTAAGGGGCAGGGGCCTTACATGATTCACTGTTAGTGGGGTTCGCCTGATTTAGGGGCTGGGGTTTGCGGTAACCCGTGAAACAGGGCAAACCAGTGTTGGTCAGATGCACTGATGGGTACAGGCAGTTAGACATAAACAGGAAAATATACTGTCTACCCATGAGTGATCATTGATTAAAAAATGAAAATTTCCTAGTGATCTTGTAGGTTTGATATTCGTTTTCGTGTATTCTTACCCGACCCTAGTAGCGTTCTAGTTACGGGGCGAAACAAGAAAGATAAGAAGGCATAAAGTTAGAGCATGGCTATGTGGCAAAAGTTTGTTTGGTGTATTTTGTGTTTTTTGTTTATTTATCTTGGTGTTATTTAATATTTATTACTAGTATTGTACCGGACGGATGCATTATGTCGACTAGGCGAGTATATAGGTACTGATTTTTCGTATGCGGGTATGAAAACCGACGGCTTTTTGGTATGAAGATATGGCTATATTAACGGAAAACCCTACATCTAAACGGAAAATAAGACGACCAGGCTACGCTAAAGGACTATTCTAACAAACAAACATGGATAATACAAAACTGAAACATAAAGGTTACGGTGCAGGAGTGCTCGGTAGCTCCAGTGCCGGCGCGGTTGTGGGTGCGTGTACAGGCCCCACCGCGTCGTTATCCGACAACTGTACATCACAGACGGCAGACCGCCAGGCCGCTGTGATAGCAAAAGCTACTGGCGATGGCAGGGACGAGTGGTTGAGTGCGGCTGGGGAGGAAGAGATCTTCTCTAGAAAACCGAGGCTTTCGCAATCACCAACCGGGATGAGTAGGTATTCTTCGGACATACTATACCCGCTAGGTCGACTGGATTTAGATGACCTTACCGGTGACGAGGAAGAAGCCACACCCCAAGCAGTAGGGCCAACAAACAAAGAGAGGACTAAACGCAGTAAGAAGGGAATGACACTGGAGGAGAAGCTCGACGCCAGTATCGACATGATATCGAAGATGTTGGAAATGATCAATGGTCACAACATGGTGTTAAAGGAATTCATTTTAAAAAGTGGCAGCGTGGCCCCGGAAATAAGGGAGGCGTATATTTCTATGGGGTGCTGCTTGGAGGACGTGACGGATGCGGTGGATGGGATTAAGGAAGCCCACTACTTGCATAAAACGGAGAAAAGGGTAGGTAAGGGTAAAAGTACAAAGAAGAATACAGATTTACTTACCAGTGATGAGGAGGCGATGGATACTGAAATGGCGATGACGGGGACGATCCATGATGAGGTTCCGGTACCTGAATAAAATAATTTTTAACAAAAAACAAATCCGACTTCGAAATACACTAAAAAGTGTCAAATAATTTCTATTTCATTTATACCAATATTCCATAGCTATTAATAATATCTACTTAATCGTTAAATAGGATACCAAATACATTTCAAAGTTTTCGGAGGCGGCGCAAAATTAAAAACTTTTCCTCTACTAAGAAGATCCTAACTCAGACGTCGGCAACCTATGATAAATCACCCATTTGATAATTTCAAGTAAATAATATTCAACGGGAATCAACAAACCCATTGCGAATTAACTATACTGCAGTTCACGAGTGACCGCACTTAACTCGCGCAGCTAGTGACCTACTGTGGTCTAGGGAGATTTTTAATAGTGCGTGTGATTCCCCTGTACAGGTTGCTTCTGACTTCGCGTTCACATCATTTTTTTCTTGCGACAAATAATAGGAATTTCATTGTATCGTGAGACTTTACAATATCATCACCGGTTATCAATTATCGTATGTCATATATTTCTGCCCGCCATTTATATGGTCGCAAAGTATAATAAGAAGCAACCTGTAGAGGGGAATAACACAAGTTATTAAAAATCTCTGTAGACCTAGTGAGCGGCGCGAGTTAAGTATGGTCTCTTGTGAACTGCAGTATAGTGCATGTACATCAGGAGGGCTGCTAATTTCTCATACAATCGTTACAATCACAAATGTTTTTAGCCGGACCTATAATGTTTCTCTTACGACTTATTAATTACCAAGTTTGCCATACCGCAATCAAATCGTTATTGGCAGCATCGTTTGTTCGGGTATTTTTAATTTTGCGCCGCCTCCGAAAACTTTGAAATGTATTTGGTATCCTATTTAACGATTAAGTAGATATTATTAATAGCTATGGAATATTGGTATAAATGAAATAGAAATTATTTGACACTTTTTAGTGCATTTCGAAGTCGGATTTGTTTTTTGTTAAAAATTATTTTATTTCACACTTTTTAGTGGAACCTGTAGTATTTTTGGGATAGTGTAAGGTGATTTTGGGTTTCTGTTACTTAGCTAATAACCATAAACCTAAAAAATATTGACCAAATTTAAATGGTTAATAAACAACAAATTCTATAAATTTTTGCAAGTGGGGTCATCGCGGATATACAGCGTGTCACGCGACTACCTCTACAGCCGAAGAGGGTTGATTGCTAAGGTGATTCTAAACAACTTTTTCCTTTTCCAAAATGTTGGTTAAGGCTTGTTTTTCTAGTTACTAACAAAAAACACCGACCAATCCGAGCGCGTACAGCGCGCGGGCTCAGGAACTGCAATGTCGGCTATGAAAACCGGGCCTGACGTAGGTCGCAAACGAACGGCTCGGCACCCCGTTGGCATAGCACAATAAAAAATTGGACGGGTAGAACATTTTTAGTCGTTGTTTAAAATGAATACGGAACCTAATCTCTTGTCGCCTATCATAATGTAAAAAATGAAATTCTAAGCATTCTAAACAACAAATGAAAATGATTGAAATGGAATAATTAATAAACGTTTGAATTGGAATCCACATTAATGATGAAAAATTTGAAAACAATATAAATGAAACTTTCGCATTCGTTCGTAAATTAACCTACTACGCTGGAAGGAGATAATTGTCACTGGGAATCGAGGAAACACGTTCGGTAGAACAGCGGTTTTCATGATCGGGCCAGTGCACTCCCCTCATTTATTGCACTTAGGTGTGAATAATAGGCGAGGTGTTTGCTCATCGAATGTCCAGAATCGACACAGTGATCTAGTGGGAATTATTTGCTTTCAGCGTAGCAAGTTAATTTAGAAACGAATGGGTAAGTTTCATTTAAATTGTTTTCAAATTTTGCATCATTAGTGTAGACTTTAATTCAAACGTTTATTAATTATACCACTTCAAATATTTTTATTTGTTGTTTAAAATCCTTAGAATTTCCTTTTTTATATTATGACAGGCAATAAGAGATTAGGTTCCATATTCATTCTAAACAGCGACTAAAAATGTTCTACCAGTTTAGTTTTCTTATTGTGCTATGCCAACGGGGTGCCAAGCCGTTCGTTCGCGACCTATGTCAGGCCCGGTTTTCGTACCCGACACTGCAGTCCCTGGGACTGCGCGCTATCCGCGCTCGGATTGGTCGGTGTTTTTTGTTATTAACTCGCAAACCAAGCTTTAACCAACAATTTGGCAAAGGAAAAAGTTGTTTAGAATCCCCTTAGCAATCATCCCTCTACTGCTGTCGAGGTAGTCGCCTGACACCCTATAATTCCTACCAAATATGAAAGATTTCATCGCGAACGATATATTCCTTGCAGAGTAACATGAAGGCGTAGATTTTTTGCTATATCAGTAGTTATTAACAAATTCAATAAATTTTTGCAAGTGATATCATCGCGAATATACCTTCTACTAAATGTGAAAGGTTTCGTCGCAATCGGTACATTCCCTGCAGCATAAACGCCAGAAGACATAAATGAAGTATTACGTTTTTTGCGATATGAGTTATTAGGAATGAAAAAATACAAACATTTTTTTGCGAGACCAATCGGGAAATATACTCGACAAGATGCAAAATTTTTTATTCGATTGGTTCATCCGTCTCGCGGTAATCGGTGAAAAATATAAGGCAAGCATTACGTTTTTTGTAAAAAAATCGTTAACAATGAAAAAATGCAAAATGTTTTTTTAACGGGACCAATCAAGAGACATACTCTACCAGATGCAAAAGGTTTCGTTCCGATTGGTCCATCCGTCTCGGCGTAATCGGCGAACATACAGAAGAAATAGTCGTTAGGAATGAAAAAATGCCAAATATTTTTTTTACTGGACCAATGAGGAGTTACACTCTACAGGACGCAAAAAGTTTCGTTCCGATTGGTCCATTCGACTCTGGGTAATCGGCGAACGTACGTCGCACGTACATGACATAGTACGTTTTTTTGCAATAAAAAGCGTTCGGAATGAAAAAATGCAAAATGTTTTTTTAACGGGACCAATCGGGAGACGTACTCTACCAAATGCAAAAGGTTTCGTTCCGATTGGTCCATCCGTCTCGGCGTAATCGGTGAACGTACATAAAAAAAAAAAATAAAAAAAAATACATACACATCGAATTGAGTATCCTCCTCCTTTTCGAAGTCGGATAAAAAGAAAAAGAAAAAGAGAAGAAGAGGAATTATAAAAATATGGCGACGCAGACAGCGGAGGAGCTGGATAAGGATTTCCCCTCCTTACCGACCAGCCGACACAAAAGGAAGGAGATTACTCCCCCCACAGAAAAGGTGGGTAAGAGAACGAGGTTTTTCCTCACAAGTACGGAAGAAACGCCGGGGGGAAATGTGAGGAAGAGGAAGGGGGATGAAGTAACCCCAAGGAAAGACGGGGGGCCCTACGTACAGGAATGGGAATTAGTGCAAGCCAGGAGGAGAAGAAGCGAAAAAGAGAGATATAAGGATATAGCTGAAGAGGAGCGGAAGATGGTGGATAGGATACCAAGAGGGGTCGGTACGGGGGCAAAGGGCACCCCAAAAAGAAGATCTGGACCAGCGAAGCCCCAAGCTATAGCGGTCAGGTTTAATAAGGACAAGTCTTTCGCGGATATATTAATGAAGGTCAAAGGAGCGGCGAGCTCCTCCCCCGACGGGGTGAAGACTGTAAAGCAGACAAGGGCTGGGAATCTACTCATAGAATTTACATCCGGAGCGGACCTAGATGGATTTAAGAGGAGAATTGATGGTAAACTAGGGCCGGATGTAGAGGTAGCGAGGCTACAACAGAAGATAGATGTGGAGCTAAGGGGAATAGACCCCTCGGTAGAAAAAGAGGAGGTGATAGCAGCACTCAGCAGGGAGCTGGGACTAGATGTAAGGATAAAGGTCCTGCGTACAGATCCGAGGCAGAACAAGATTGCGGTGGTGGAAGGTCCAGCGGAGGACATGATAAGATTGATTAAGAAGGGTAGGATAAAGATAGGGTGGACCATCGTCCTGGTGAAGGGCATACCACGCCTACTCCGATGCTTCCGATGTCATGAGCTAGGACATGTGGCTACAAATTGCAAAAGCAGTAAAGAGGGGGGGGGGGCTTCTGCAGGAAATGTGGGGAACTGGGACACCAGATGAGGGAATGTGTCAATGCACCCAGATGTAGGCTCTGTGTGGCGGATAAATTACCGGAAGAGATGGTGTGCCATGTCGCAGCATCTGTGAGGTGTCAGAGGTACAAGGAGGCCTTAAAAGGCAAAGCTAAAACCCTGCAGATTAATTTGAATCATTGCAGAACTGCACATGATTTATTGTCTACTACCGCGGACAGATATGAGGTGGACCTTGTGGTAGTGTCGGAACCATATAGGGTCCCGGATAATTGGTTCGTGGACAATACAGGTAGGCGGCAATTTTTATAACAAATAAGGGAATATCCGCTGGAAGAAACATCTCCCTAACCAAAAGTGGGAACGGCTTTGTCATCATTAAATTTAACAATATGTACATGGCTAGTGTGTATGCGTCGCCAAATGGTACTGTACAAGAATATGAGGACATGCTGGACTCACTTGCAGCGGAAATGAATACCCTAAAAGGTAGCACAGATGAGAAGATCGTCATGGGCGATTTCAATGCTAAATCCCCCCTATGGTGTGCGGATGCATGGTGTAGCCGGGGCAGAAAGCTGTTTGAATTCTGTAATGTAGCAGAACTCTTCCCCGTAGTTACGAAGGGAGGAGCTACATGTGATCGTGGACGAGGCATAAAAATAGATATTATGTCTTGTAACAGGAGAGCACTACAGGACTTGACAGGATCGGTGTTCATCGAGGATTACTCTGCGTCCGATCACAAATATGTAGTGCATACTTTCCAGCTGGCACAGCATAAAGGAGAGACAGCCTCACCGTTCGAAATTGAGAAAGGTAAGCTCGATGAAGAAGGTTTCGTTGAAGCCTTTTTAAAGAAATTTGGTGATAAAAACTTTGATAAACGTCCGCGCACGCACACCACCTTGGAGGTGTACAAGTTTCTTGAAGAAATGAGCGAGCTTGTGAACCGATACACCAGGTACGGAGGAGCGAGGAGTAAGCGTACGCCTGTGCCATGGTGGAATAGTGATATAGCGGAGAAAAGAAAACTTGCGCAAAAAGCTAGCAGGAGACTGACAAGAGTTAGGGCTGGAATAGATCATGAGGCCATAGAAAAATCAACAAGGGCATATAAGAAGTGCAAGATGGATCTCAATACGGAGATCAGGAAGGCGAAGAGGAACAGCTGGGCAAATCTGCTGCAGGAGGTTGATAAAGACGTGTGGGGAAGGCCCTATAAACTGGTTTTGAGGGCGGTTAAGCAAACCAGTTCGGTTTCCGCAAAGGGAGGTCCACAATGGACGCGATGAAGCTGGTTATGAAGCATTGCCAGAAGGCAAGAGAGTACGGGAGACATTACCTCCTCGTTTTACTAGACGTAAAAAATGCATTTAATACAGTTAGGTGGGATAGTATTATAAGAAATCTGAAAGAAAGAGGTTTCCCACCAGAATTAATAAACGTGGTGCGTAGTTATTTACAGGATCGATGGATTATCTACAGTGGAAAAGATAAGGAGACGAGATACCAGGTATTTGGAGGAGTGCCACAGGGCTCCGTGATAAGCCCGTTGCTATGGAACGTGGTTTATGATGGTCTACTGAGGATGAATATGGGGAGGAATGTTCATTTGGTTGGGTATGCCGATGACATAGGCGTGGTTGTGGTAGATCATGACCTGGACAACATGAGAAGGATCGTAGAACTGACAATATGCGACATGGCAGTCTGGTATGAGAAGGAGGGTTTAAGCCTGGCTCACCACAAAACAGAGGCGATTCTCCTGACTGGCAGAAAGGTGGCCGGAGGGCTAAAGATTAAATGCGGACATGCGGAAATCAAGACGGCAAAAGATGCGAAATATCTTGGTGTCACGCTAGAGATGAACAGGGCGTTTAAGAAGCACATAGTTACGGTGTGCAATAAAGCTCTAAAATACGCGAACTCGCTGGCTCTGCTGATGTCGAATACGAGGGGTGCGGGACATACAGCCAGAAAGCTGTATTATAGGGTTATCGAGTCGGTGATACTATATGCTGCGCCGATTTGGGCAGTAGGTATCGACTATAAAGGGAATGTGGGCATATTAACAAGCACTCAGAGAACGGCGCTATTAAGGGTGGCACGTGCATACAGGACGGTATCAGCAGATGCGCTGTGTGTAATGACAGACCAGGTGCCACTAGATCTGGTTGTAAAAGAAAGAGAATATCTCTTCAACAAAAGAGAAACTAAGGAAAAAGAGAATGAAGAGGAGGGTACAGCAAGCAGACTAAAAGAAGATGCCCGGGCCTTCACCATGGAAGTCTGACAAGGAAGGTGGGACAGCTCGGAAAAAGGCAGGTGGACGCACGAAGTGATCCCGAAAATCGCAGACTGGATCACGTGGGGACCTAGCATATTAAGTTTCCACGTGACGCAGATCCTGTCCGGACATGGATGCTTTGAAGCATATCTAAACAAGATGAAAAAGAGGGAGTCGACATGGTGCCATTTCTGCCCAAGTTCCGTAGACGACCCCACGCACTTCTTGTTTGAGTGCAATAGGTGGGCGCCAGAAGGAAGAGATCTGGATACCACCCTACAGGAAAATTTTTGCAAGGGAAATTTTATGAAATTCCTAAGGAAAGAGGAGACGAGGAATTCTGTACTGGGGTATATTAACAAAACCCTAAAAGAAAAAGAAGATCTGGAGAGGATGAGACAAAGGTCATTAACAACAGGAAGTAGGACGTAACAAGAGGATGAAGAAGATGTTTAGACCAATTGACTACGCGCAGTGCGAGGAAAATGATACAAAATAAGAAGAGCAAGAAAAAGCTTGAAGTAAATGATGGGTGCGCACTAAAATCTATGGGGATCAACTGTTTGCGAAAACCTAGGGGGTCAGTGATACTCTTTTTAATATGCGACTAACGGTGTTTTATCTATGGACTATTTATTTATTTATTTATGTTTTTATTTATTATTTATTTAGTTATTTGCTTTTATCGATTTATGACCCACATTGGACGAAAGTTATAGTGGATGATTTTAAAATTCTAGACATAATGTACGAGACTGAGGGCCTTAACCCCCCCTGACATTTTAATTATTCTGACATATGTATATGAAAACAGTACGGGTTGGGTAGTAGAGGTGAGGAATATACCTCCTAAACGGTAATGAACCTAGTCATTTGCAGCAGCCGATTTTATGTCACCCCCCACCCCGAAGTAATGCTTCATTAGCGGTACCGGAGGAGGAGCTTTGTGACCGGCACCAAGACGGTGAAATCGAGGTGGGTTTTTTAGTGGGTAAGCTATGATTAGCAGCCCCACACTGCCGAGCGACCACCAGCTCGGCGTGCGTAAAACATTTTTCCCCCTCGTAAAAAAAAAAAAAAAAATTAAAAGGGTTAGGGTGACTCTATGGTTTATATAATCTACGGCTATATTATTGTTGGAATTCACTTTACAGTATCTTATTCCATTTTATTGTGTTTTATATCACAGTATATTGTGCTGGTTATGTTTGCTTATACATTATAGTTTACACTTTACATTTTCTTTATTTTTCTTTATTTTCTTTATTTTCTTAATTTTTAATTTATAATTTCTTAATTTCTGCAATTTCTTTAATTATTTTGATCGCATCCTGTATTCATTCACTATTATTCATTTGCATTTTGGTTGATTAAGGTCAATGGATTTGATTTATTCCTTTTCTGTGATGATGGGTGGTTTTGTCTGTGCAGGTGTTTATTTATAATTGATTGATAATGGTTTGCCTATTAAATATCAGACTTACTTATTTGTTGTTCGACTATATACTGATGTGGTGTTTAATTTAACTGCGTAGTTTATATTTGATTTGAGTTTGTTGTTTTTATTCATTCTATCCTGATATTTCATTTGGTAATCAGTTTCTAGTTTTTAGTTTCTTCTAGTTTTTAGTTTCTATTTAAACTACGCAGTTAATGTTTGATTTGATTTTGTCGCTTTAGTTACCTATCTTGATACGTCATTCAATAATCGATTCCTTTTGCATTTGCATTGACACGATCATTTATCATTTACTATTTATAATTTAGCTTATAATCTACTTTGGCTGAACTTCGTCTTGGGGGACCAAAAATTTCTGGATGAAAAGTATCAAATCTTATACTTTTTGACCTGAAACATTCGAAAATGCAAGTTAAAAGTCCAGGAAACCAATAGTTTAAAAGATATGAGTACATGAAAATGTGTGTACTTGGCGTACTTTGACAGGTCAGTACGACGCCATTTGGTCCAATGAGTGGAGTCGCCGTCGGTAAAACAGAATTATATAAGTGGTGGCCTAAACCCGGTATACCTAAGGTTAAGTTTTTTTTTTTATAAACAATATCCCCTCGGATTTGATAGGAACTGAAGGTACTCACACCCAACAAATAGAGTCCAAACAAAGGATTGGATGCGGGGAAGAGTCAATGTGACATCGTACTGTCCTGTCAAAGTACGCCAAGTACACACATTTTTATATACTCGTATCTTTTAAACTATTGGTTTCCTGGACTTTTAACTTGCATTTTCGGACTTTTCAGGTCAAAAACTACAAGAACACATATTTTGGACTCGTTAATTTTTGGTCCCCTAAGACGAAGTTTAACCTTTTAGTTTATTTCAGATTTAGTGTGTTTGTTTTAATGGTGTGGTGCGATGAGTGATTGCTTTTGTGCTTTTGGTGTAAATTGTTTTGTGTACTTTATTTGTTGGGTGGTGGGTGCTCATTTACTTTCCTTTACTTACTTACTTAGTTATAATATTGTATTACATTCACGCTTTCTTGCTTTCATTCACGCCTTTTTTCACTCACGTCTTTACCTTCTTTATTTTTTTAAATTTTTCATTTCCTTAATCGTCCCATTCATTCACTCATTATTCATTGACTCATTCATTCATTCTGATCAATTAAAGTTAATGTTAAAATTAATGGATATGATATGATTTATTTTAATTTATTTTACTTTAGTTTTATTTCTATGATGATGAGTGGTTTTGTCCATTCAAATGCTTTGATTGTGCATGGTTTATTATAATCTTATCATTTAAGTATCCTTATTTACTTATTTACTTATTTATTTATTTATTGTTAGTCTATACACTGGTGTAGTGTTTATCGAACTACGCAGTTTACATTTGATTTGATTTGATTTATTGGTCACTTTAGTTACTTTATTTTGATGCGTCATTCAATAACCAGTTCTATTTGCATTTGCATTGACATAATCATTTATCATTTACCATTTGCTATTTATAATTTAGTTTATAACCTACTTTGGTGAGGAAATAGGGTGTTGTAGCTAATAATCTTTACGGTTATATTTCATTGAGTTCACTTCTTGTATGTTGTATTCTATTTAGTATATTTCATTTTGTTCTACATTATATTACATTACATTACATTACATTATTTACATTATGTTGGTTATGGCCTTCACCTTATATTTTATGCCTTATTATTTATCTTGTTATTTACCTCATTCTTCTTTATTATCTTTAATTGATTACTTCACTGTTCAGTCATTCATTCTTTCATTCTCTCATTGTTTATTCGTTCTGACACATCCCTGCTTTTTGCTCTCACTCACGCCTTCTTACCTTCTTTATTTTCCTTAATCTTTAATTTCCTTAATCGTTCCATTCACTCATTCATTATTCATCCACTCACTAATTCTGATCAATTAAAGTTAATGGATATGATTTATTTTACCTTATTTTACTCTATTTTAATTAAGTTTTGCTATCTCTACGATGATAAGTGGTTTTGTCCATCCAAATGCTTTGATTGTGCGTGAATTTTATTATAACCTTATCATTCAAGTACTCGTATTTATTATGTACTTATTTATTTATTCTATTTTATTTTATTTCATTTTATTCTTATTTCAGTTTATACACTGGTATAGTGTTTATTGAACTGCGTACTTTATATTTGATTCATTTATTTGTTGCTTTAGCTACTCTATTTTGATATGTCATTCATTATTTAGTTCTGTTTGCAATTGTATTGACATGATCATTTATCATCTACCATTTACCGTTTACAATCTAACTTATAATCTACTCTAGTGAGAAATAGAGTATTGTAGTTAATAATCTTTACGGTTATATTTATTGAGTTCATTTCTTGTATTTTGTATTTTGTATTCAGTTTATTATTACATTCTGTTTTACAGTATATTGCATTACTTATATTACAGTGCATTACATTACATTATTTACATTAGGTTGGTTACGGCCTTCACTTTATACTTTATGCTTATTATTATTTTTTACTTCATTCTTCTTTAATATCTTTAATTGATTTCATTGTTCAGTCGTTCATTCGTTCATGCTGTCATTGTTCATTCATTCTGAATTAAATTGAATCAAGGTAACTGTTAAGATTTAGTTTATTTTGACTCATGATGGCACAACGTTCTGTAAATGGTATTAATATTAATATAATTATGGTTTGTTTGCATACAATTATTCTATATATATTTTCTATATTTTAATTTATTTGTGCCACGTACCACTGTTTACCACTATTTATTTTATTTTATTTCTTGTCACCTCTATCCTTGGACATTCCTTGGACATTTTGACATTTTGATATTCTTCTCTGGTATTCTTTAATTCAATTTATTCAAGCCGTTTCTCTTCGATAATAGTATAGCTCTTTGATGACGGTGTGCTGTTTCTGTAGGAATTAATATTCATGTCATTAACTTGTGCTACTCTTGTTTAAATTTATTATGCGTTATTATAATCATTACCTTGTTTGTTTCGTTTCTTTTCTGGTTGCTTTGATTCTATTTCGGTTTCATTTATTTTATTAACTGACTGGGTGTTGCTTGATTGGTCCTGCGGGACTTTCCTGACTATATGCGTTATTTGACGTTGTCAGATGGTTATATTTGATTTCGATTCTGTTTAGGTTGAATGTTTCATTCGTTTATTTATTCGGCCTTTCGTTCTGTGGCGGTTTCTTTGTTCCGTTGTTCTGCGTAGTTTGTTTTCTGCGGCGCGATAGGCAGTAACATAATGCGTCCTGCAATCTGCGGATCTTATTCGGGTTGATTTCATTTCATTCATTTCATTCTATCTTCATCATTGTTTATACTTAATATTTATTTCATCCTACACTATTACAAACGTATGATTTATATATTTATAAATAATAAATGATAGCCGTGGTATTGTTTTATTAATTGATTTATTCTTGATTTTAATCCGTCTGGGGTTCTATTTGTTGCCCGTTTGCTTTTATAATTACCTTTTCCGTGAGTCGTGGTATTGTTTTATTAATTGATTTATTCTTGATTTTAATCCATCTGGGGTCTTATTTGTCCGTTTATAATTGCCTTTCCGTGAATAGTATTGGATATCGGACTTATCTTTTATGGTAAGTCTGATGGTAAGTATGGCTTCCTAGGATGGCGCGGTTGCGCGACGGATAGTTTAACAGTCGGTAACTGTGATGTAGCAGATATCTGGCGCGCGGTGGGTAATTGCTGCGCGGCGGATAGTTGGTCGGTGGATAACCGTTGCGGGATGAACGGCCGAGTATTATATGGTAAATATATTATATGATAATATTTGGCTGCCGGTGCTGCGGATGGTTACCAACTAGGGATAATTTGTAATTATTATCAACGGATAGTGTTGCGTACTTTATTTAGTGAGATACCGGAATGTTTTCCGCTATCGTTACCTTCTGTTACATTCTGTTCCTGTTTGGTTTCGGTCACTGTAATTTATTGAAAGTGTTTTATTGATGTATTTGGTCACGGACGCTTGTATATTCCGTGTAATAATCAATTAATTAATTTGGTAACTAATTTAATAGTCAACAGACATAATGGGACGAACTGTAAATTTTACAAAATTTCTCGAAGGTTACGCATCTATATGGTGTATGGTTTATGGCTTAAGCTTCACGCGGTTTCTTATCTTTGGTTGACATGATCATCGGCGGCACTGGTTTACTCCATCTCCATGTGCCATATACTCGGTTGAGACATGGAGGAGGATCGTATATTAATTGAATCGTTAAATTGCTGAATTGCTGAGTTTTGATTAGGCCATTAATATTGAATATTGAATATCGGTGCGTGTGTGTTTGTGATTTGTGCGTGTACCCATTGCAATGAGTGGTGACATGTGCTATTGTGCTCCGTTTTCTGATATATTATATTTATTTATATTTATTTATATATTTGTTTATTTATATTTACATATTATTATTATTATACTTATACATATTTTTATACTTATACTTATACCCAATTTACATATTATTTGCAATAAATTCAGTTAGTACTGTGTAATATTTTGCATCATTATCTTTCTACGGCTAATTAATGAATAAAGTTAATTGACAGTTATATCTGAAACACTTGGTTGCCTTGTTGAGTGCTGAGTGTATTCGCTTTATCTTACCGTACCTTCTTAATATTATATCTGTTTAGGATAATATAATCTGCCTCATTGCATATTCAACGTAATGGATTTTGTAAATTTATTTGATTTAGCCTCATTGGATGGCTGCGTTTATGTGAGATGTATGAATGAGTGTATGGATGTGCTTGTTGGTGGAATGCTCTTCAATGTATCTTATTCTATTTTATTTTGTGTCAGTTACATTCGTCTATATACTATACTTTACACTTTCTTTATTTTCCTTACTCTCTCTATCTGCCTTTATTTGCCTTAACTTGCTTAACTTCTTTAATAGCTCTATTGCTCACTCACTCATTCATTCATTCGCTTATTATCCACTATTTATTTATTTAGATTTATTTCGATTTAAGTACGTTTAATTTTCTTGAGAGGATAGATGATTTTGTCCATTCAAATGCTTGACAGCGCGTGGCTTCTGTTATAATCACGCCATTTGAATTTCATTTCAAATACTCTACTTCTTTGCTTATTTATTTATTTATCTGTTATTCTCTTATTTTATTCTTTTACTATGTAATGGTGTGGTGTCTAATTGAACCACGCACCTTATGTTTGATTAGTTTTTATTTGTCATTATATTTATTATTTACTATCTTTATACATCAGTCGGTTATGAATTTTTACCTTCTATTTGCATTTGCATGGACATAATCACTTACAATTTATAATCTATAATTTATAAAGTAGTGGGAATGGAGTCAATAATGTTTACGGTCATATTTAATTAGAATATAACTCACTTGTTGTATTTATCTTATTTTCTTTTACATTATTTTGCATTATACTACATTATGTCGGCTATGTCTGTTAAGCGTTACACACTTTCATTTTCTGTAGTTCCTCAGTTTGTGAATATTTTCAGCTGTTCTTCTCGCATTCAGTATTCATTCATTCATTTATTATTCATTATTCATTTTGATGTTGTTTGATTATAGTTATACATTGATTAGATCTGATTTATTTTGATTTATTTTCTGATTCATATTTCCTTTCTGCCAGTTGCTTGTTGCCTTGTTGCCTTGATTTTATTCTGGTTTTATTTATTTTGTTAACTAATATTATTTGACTGGGAGTTGTTTGAATGGTTCCATGGGTTTTTCCTGACTATATGCGTTTCATATTGATTCTGCTTTGGTTTAGGGTCTTATTTTATTTATTTATTCGGCCTCTCATTCCTTGGCGGTTGTTTTCCTTTATCTTCATTGCCTTTTGTATAATTTGTTTCTTTGCGACGTGATCATGCAGTAACGCAGTACGTCCTGCAATCTGCGCAATCTGCGGGACTTATTCGGGCTGATTGTATGATTTTATTTTTTCTAATTATCTTATTGACTTACATCGTGTCAGGCTACTTTATGCGTTTTAACTACAATTATATTCTATCTTATTTATTTTATCACAAACTTATATGATGTTTTATATAGGTAATGTATTTATAACCATAATATTGACTTATTTCTTTATATATTAATTAATTAATGCCTGATGTTGGCCCGTTTGAAGTTTATCTCTGATCCCATTGATTTAGCATAATTATCTTTTCGATTATAGTATTGTATACCAGACTTATCTTTGATGGTAAGTCTGATGGTAAGTACGGTTTCCCAGAATTGCGCGGCAGCACGATGGACAGTTCTGCAGTCGGTAACTGTGTAACTGGTAATTGGCGCGTGGTAGGTGACTACTGCGCGGCAGATAATTTGCCTGTGGATAGCCGTTACGGAGTGAGCGGCCGAGTATCACTGTCTGGTAAACGGAATATTTGTTGCTGGTAATATCCTTGGTACTGTGGTTGATTACCAACTAGGCATAGCTTGCGGCTTATGGTCATCTTTTGTAGGTACATTATCTTTGGTTTTGGTCATTTTGACTTGTTCAAACTGTTTTGATTATGCATTTTCGCTTATGAGCACTTATATATTCTTTATAATTACTTAAATACTTAATTTGATGGTTTGATGGTTAATTTGACGGTTGATAACCATTATGGAGTGAACTAAGGAATTTTATGAACACTAGGTTCTATCTCTATATGTTTTATGATTTATGGTCTCGCTCTCGTTCTTTTACTTGGCCCGGTTTTCAGTCTTAGGTGACATAGTTTTCGGTGACGCGTGTTTACTCTTCCCTTCTCCGGGCATTGTGCAAATGTGTGCATTATGTACTCGTCCGTGATCTGTGATGTGAAGTGTTAACTAAATTAATTATTTAATTCTGCTATTTAAGTTTAAATCAAAATTTAATTGGTGCGAAGGTGATTGTGGTGAAAATGCGCGCTCCACCGTGATGCATTGTGTTCCATTGCAATGTATGTGTTTCAAAGTGGTGCTATTTACTCCGTTTTGTGTAAATTATAATATATTATATTATATTATTTATTTTATATTATGGTCATATTTATATTCATGTTTATTACATTCAATTACCTTCTATCTCCGTTCAATTCAATCTATGTATTGAATAAAGTATTGAATATGTTATATTACTATATTATTACATCAGATTTTGTATTATATTCAGTTATTTCAGTTATTTCAGTTATTTCAGTTACATTAGGTTATACTTAGTCAGTATTTTGTGCTACACTGTAAACTGTATTGTATTGTATTATATAACTCCCTATCTTCTATTCCATTATATTATTATAATTGAGTGAATAAACGAATGGGGTGATTAGCGGTGGATATGGTATATTGAATAAATTAGGTTAAATTAATTAAATGACTTGACAAGTGCTTGTTTTATTTCACCGTACCTGCCGTATTTACATATTTACATTATTATGTGATGACATGTGTCTATATGCCTTAGTGTAGTTTAATTGGCCTTATTGCATGCTGAACATAATGGATTCAATGGAATTCACTAGAATCTATTAGAATTTGGTAGAGTTTGGTTTATATGGATTGGTTGTTTGAATGCATATATTATGTACGTTTCATTGTGCTGCGTTACCTTCATATATATTTTAAGGACAGTTTGATCCTGCGTTTTCTGTTGCATTGTGTTATGAGATGACTTAGGTGTCACTATTATGCTGTGTCTTGATTATATTAATCCATATACAAATTATATATTATAAATTTACATCTACTTAGTTCGGCTTTGACAATACTGTATGTATAATTTTGCACTTTCTTCTACCCATTTTGATATGGCTCAGTTGTTAATAAAGTAAGTGAGCGCAGCAATGTTTGTTTATACTTTGATAGGAATTGTTATTGCTCAAGGCGCCCTAATGGAATACTCCTTTTTCCTTTTGACACTTTTGCTTGATTATCGGTTTACTTCATTGCTTATTTATTTAGTTATTACTCAATGCAGCAGAGCTCAACGCAGTGTTGTGTGGTTAATTTAGTTTGGGTGTTGATTGTGTGTGCTAATATTTACTATTATACTTCCCTAACTAACTTTTCTTTCTTTTCTACTCTTTTCTACTCTCTCTGCTACAGCTGCCTGTTTTACCACTCTTTTGCCAACAGCAATTTTTACTTCTACATTATCTTACTCATGCGATAGGATTGGAGTCTGAGTCTGTTTCTTACACTTTCGTTCTACACGTGGGTAGGGAACGGCTACTCTATGTGCCTATTTTCTTCATGGGTATTCTGCATGCCTCCTTTACTTGCTTGGGTTGTTCGGACATTCG